ACGCAGTAAGAACTCAGAGAGAGGGTCCGTCACGGCTGAGACCTGAAACCGGAGGACGTAAGGTCTGTGTGGTCTGCAGACGGGGCTGCACTGAAACGCACCTGGACCACAGAGTGTGTGGGATGCATAAAGAGCTGGTGAATACTAACACGAGAGAGGGACAGAAGGAAGACTATCATAGCTCAAAGAAAAACGCTGACTGAGGCACAGAGCAAACGAGGCTGAGGGGTCCAGCCCCAGTGACCCAGGACAATGACTACAGACCACACATGGATATTCGGCATAACGTCCTTTAATGGAGGTAAAGCTACGACTTCAGTGTTTTCATCAACCTGAATACTCACAGAGCTCCACCTGAGCTGGGGAGCTGTACCGGGCACTACAGAAAGAGAGTTTACCCAGCCAAAGACACGGGGCGTCCTCAGGACGATTCCCAGAAATAGGAATGCAGAAGGCCATCAAATGTCGGAGAAGTTGCCAACTCACTGGGGCCGAGGATGGGCTCACAGAAGTAGATGCCACCGGTGCACCAGGTGCGGAAGTCAGCACAGAGACTCCTGGGGCAGCAGCACCCAGGGCCTCATGGGCCTTGGGCCGGTGCAGAACATCCTGATGCTTTTGCGGGGAGGAACAGGAAATGTTTACCGAGGCTGCTGAGGATCTCAAGCTCAGGCTGCTGCCTGTGGAGTTCCAGCCCCCAGGAACTCTGGCAGAGGCCGCGTCTGCACAGTGGGGAGAACGGGGGGCTGTCGGTGAGGTCAGGAGAGCTGGGAGTGCTCCGTCCGTGTCCTGGCAGAAGGTGCCCAGGATCTGCTGTCAAGTCAAAGTCCAAAGGCAGTGTTGTGGTCTCCAGCTTAGCTGTTCATCAAACGCAGAACAGTTTAGAGTGAAGGGACTGGGTGAGGAGCTGATCGTGAGTTAGTCGTCTGATGAGAATTACACAGTGAGACTGTGGGCAGGTAGAGTGGCAGAGGAGACGGGCCACTGGGGGTGGGTCTTGGGCTTTGTGAGCTGACTTGAATGTCTCTTCTCTCCTTCCTGGTGCCACGTTCTCAGTTGTGTCCCTCCACCATGCCCTTCTGTCATGACGTTCTGCCTCCCTTCTGGTCTAGAGCACCAGAGTTGGCCATCGATGGACTGAGAACTATGGAACCATGAGTCTCCAAATAGAATTTTCCTCCTCTAATTTTTCTTGTCCAGTCTTTTGTCATAGCAGTGGAAAACTGACCAAAACAGAAATTGGTACCGAGAAGTGGAGTTGTTGCTGTGACTTACCTAGCCATTTGGTTAAGAAGCTGTTGGAGCTTTTTGAATTTTTATGGGAGGAATTCTGAAAAGTTCAGAGATGCAAACTGGAAACGTTTTAGATTGTTGTAAGAGGAGATTAATGAGTCATTCTGGAGGGAGTTCAGAAGACCAGAATGCTGATAGAACTGTGGACAATAAAGACTGGGCTCAAGAGGTTTTAGAGGGCTATTTTGGAAACTGGACTAGAGGCCATTCATGTTAAATCTGGTGTAGAAGTCGTCTGCATTTTGCCATGTCCTGAGACTTTCTGATTCTGAACTTAAGGTGGAAGAACTTTCTAGGCAGCATAGTATTAAGGCAGTGATATGGATATTGCAGACATCTTTTAGCTAAGTTTATTGTAATGGTCAGGAGCAGAAACAAAGAAGAAAGTTTTGAAAAACTTCCAGTTTGTCCAGAAAATTGCCAGTACAACCAGAACTAAGACAGGTGTGCTTGATAAAGACATTACTGCCAAAAAGAGACACTGGGAAGGGAGGCTGAGGGCATCTCAGGGATTGGAAAGACCAAACCCACCTCAGGTTCAAGGGAATAAAAGTAAAAATCCTTTGAGAAGAGACCAGGGGGGCATTCTGGTTGCACAGGGGCCAGGGAGTCGTCACGCCACGCTCAGCCACCAGGCACTCAGAGCCTGCAGCACTGTGGTCCCTGGAGGCTTGGGGGCTGCTCCAGATGGCAGCACTTCTTGGTGTCACCTCAGGTGCTGGTTCTGCAGGATTGCAGGATGCTGGAGTTAGGGGACAAGAAGGCTTCCACCAAGATTTCAAAGGAAAAGTGCAGCAGGGTCAGAGTTCCTGTGTGCTGCCCTTTAAAGGGACACATGGACATGTGAGGAGGAAGTCAAAGGTGGAGACCCCATGATTAGGAAATGCCAGTCACATGGAACGTCTCCTAGGAAATCTGCAGGAATGGAGCAGAGACAAGCCAAAGAGGAACCAGAAGGCCACAGGGTGGAGCCACACAAGCCCGCTGGGGACAGCATTGTGAGGCCGTGTGCCCAGATGCAGGACACAGAGCTACGGACTTGTTTGCCAAGCTGGATTTGGCCCTGCTTTGGTCCTGTCCTTCTTTCTATGCCACTGTTTCTTCACATGAAAATGATCACTCTGTGCCTTCATGCATTGCATCTATGTCATTTGTTTCTGATTTTTTCAGGGACTCAATGAAAATTTGCCTTGGGTCAAAGGAGACTAGAAAGATGGACTGTTGGTAAATTCTGGAATTCTTAAGATTATGAGGAGTCTTGAAAATAGACTAGATATATCCTGCCTGAGCTTCAGAGGACGAAGGGAGGAATGCTATGGTTTCAATATGAGTTGTCCCCCAAAAGTTCATGTGAGAGAGGGAGTGCAAGAAAGTTCAGGGGTGATATGTGGGTTATGAGAGTTTTAATAAACGAGTTCCTGTAATTGATGGGCATTAATTGAGGGCCTGAGGCAAGGTGGGTGTGGCTGGAGGAGCTGGGTCATCGGGGGTGGGCTATTGGGTATATATTTCATGAAATGAGATCTCTCTCTCTCTCTCTCTCTCTCTCTCTCTCTCTCTCTCTCTCTCTCCTTCCTGGGACATGCTCTCAGTTGGTTTCCTCCCCAACACCCTTCTGCCATGATGTTCTGCCTCCCAGAGGCCCAGAGGAAACCCTTGGTCCATCTTTACACTGAGCCCTGACACTGTGAGCACCCAAAACAATTCTCGGCCTCTAATTCTTCTGGTCAGGTCTTGTGGTCACAGCAACAAAAAAGCAGACTAAAAAAGGCAGGCTAGTGAATGTAGTGGCCCTGGGTCACAAGACACCAACAGAAGACCCCAGACATGCAGACACATGTGTGGGGACAGGGCCAGCTGCACAGGGCCGAGGTGCAATGGGGTCAGGAGTAAGAGGATTCTTAACTTCAGTCACTTCTTACCTGTTCAAATTTCCAAGCATGAATTTGTTTTGAATTTAGGAGACAGAGAGGAAAAGACACAGAGACAAAAAGTGTAGGGGGCCCCCAATGGGAGGAGATGGTGATGACACACAGATTGGCCACAGCCCTGCAGCTTGGGGGCCCAGGGAGTTGGAGTCCAGGCACTGCAGAGGCCCAGAGCCTCACTAATTGGCCACTGGAGGCCCAAGTACCAGCCCTGCCAGGTACACAGTGACCCCAAGTGAAGGTGCCTTAACACGCTGCCCAGCTGGCAGGACAGGAGAGGAGGCTGACGTGGGGCCCAGAGCCTCACTGGACCTACTACTGCCCGCCACCTCACTCACTGCTCAGGAGGTCACAGCTGAGCCGCAGAGGACAAGGGGCTGGGCATCCGCCTCCCCGTCTCCAGCACAGACCTGGCTCAGGAGCACAGGGACCCTGGAAGCACAGCTGCTGTCCTAACCCTCACCTGGACAGGCAAGGTCAACACACCACCTGCTCAGGCCTGCCAGGACCAGAAGCTGACCATGAGTGAGCAGGCAGCAAGGCTGTGTATGCAGTAAGCACTCAGGCCTTGCCCCAGCGGGGGGGCAGAGACCACTCCCCTGCCCACACCCTGCCCTGCACCCTGGTGGCTGGGCAGGGCCTGTGAGCCTTGGCCTGAGCACCCGCTGGCTGCCCCTTGCTAAGCACAGGCTCCGAGTCTGCAGGCTGGGGCTGCGGCTCCTGCATTTCCACCAGCTCCCAGGGGCCAGGGACGCTGCTGGCTCAGGACCACCTGTGCACAGTGGGCCAGGGACAGTGGGGAGGACAGGCCATCCTATCACACCCAGTCAGTCTTCCAGCTCCCCAGCAGATGGGCACCCTCCCTGCCCCGTGGCCAGCTGCTCATTCCACTGGGCCCAGGGATGGCCCTGCGTCCTCACCAGGCTGGACAGCTCTGCTCTGTCCCTCTTCCCATGTGAGTCAGTGACCTTGGCCTTGGGGTGGGCATTCCAAGTGTTTTCAGCTCATCACAAGGTCAAGCTGTGCGGTCAGTGTGGGCACCACCAGGGGCCGTTCAAGAATTCTCTGGTTCAGGGTGCAGCATGGCACCGACACGTCTCTGTACTCCACAAAAGACGTGACCATGGTCCCGTAACCTGCTCAGTCTCACGGCCTCCACTGTCCTCTGTGCCTGCTGTCCCAGCGCAGGGCCATGCCGACCCTCAGAAATGGAAACCTCTCGGCGCTGCCCTTGCGGGAGTTTGTGCTGGAGGGCTTTAGAGGAGG